TAATTCAAATTTTTCAATACGTATTTCTCAGAAAGTGATGGCTTGTTATTTTATTAATTGTTATTTTAATTGTATTGGAAACTTTCATATTAGAAACTAAAATGACATTATGTCAAACACTAAAAATATGTTTGATTACTAACTAACGCATGCTGCATTATTAAATATTTGCCTTCATTGGGATAATCTTTTAAACTGTTCTACACTATATATATTTCAAAGATGGAAGTCAAATTATTGAACAAAGGTTATAGTTCTGCAGGATATTATTAGTGATTCGAATAAATTTTGCACATGCCAATCATATGAAATTTTTTTGCCTCTTGGCTAATAGTTATTAATTTATGAACTTATGTAATCAATTACTGACAGTTCAAAATTAATTTTATGAACAATGGAATAACCATAATAGAGCTTTGATGAATTTTACTTCCACTATTAGTTTAAATAATTATATACCTTAAGTTTTTGGCAAAAGTCTGTTTGAAATAAGAACCATTTTGTTACCTATCATACTACAGGATCCCCAATGAACAAAGAAAAATTGGCGAATCACAGAAGAGCCGAAATGATGAATTCAATGCAAGTCCAGGAGACATGTTTGAATCGAGTAAGCCCACAGTCTAAATTCTCAATGTCGCATCAGTCATCTCAATCATTTAGGTTAAAAAATATCACACCACATTTTTACTCAAAAAAAACGTATCAGCCTAGAGTGCGTATGGAAAGCATGTCTTTAATTAATACTAATAATGGAATTTACTGCACGACTATATCGACGTAGGTAGGAATTGCATGTTTGTAGCTTTATAGTTGCATAATTTAGGTGCTCACATATTCACACAATTCTAGCTCGTCATTGTGATTACAAAATTAATTTTGGATATTCATCTATACTCTATTATTCACCCTTACCATATGATTTGCTGTATGGTAACTACTATAGTCTTTCATAGAATAATTACTTTTATTAGGTTACTACTTCAGTCTTTTATAGTATAACTACATTTATTCGGTTTTCAACATCATGACAAACATGGATTTTTCTAACACAAATTATTTGTTAAACCAATGAAATCAAGAAATAACAAAGAATTATGTTGACTTCACTTGACGATAGAATGCTAAATATGATCCCTTTTCTAATTTGTTCATAATTTTGCATTAAAAAAAATTATTTGTAATAATTCCTTATTCAAATCAAACATATTTTCAAACTTGATAAATCTATATAGTTATTTAATTTTATGTGAGCAGCTATTCTAGTTATTATTTAAATTTAGGTTTACTGCAAATATATTTTATTTGGCTATTTGCTCTGTATATATATACATATATAGTATAAGTATCTCAAAGGGTCTGTATGTAGAAAAATACTAATTATTTTACATTATACATGTATTATTTGAAATATTATATGCATAGTTTTAATTTAATGGTAAAATATAGTAAAGAATAAAAATTATTTCATTGCCATGCTGTTGCCATTTCAACAATTCATGGAAGTATATTTTCATGTATTACTTTACTTTAAAAGATTGTCCCTTAATATTACAAATCGCTTATATGTGATTTATTGTGATAATAATTTAGGATTTTAACCCATATATTTATTAGCAGTTAACAACTGAGCTTTTAACAATAGTAATGATAGGATCAGTATAGAAGATAAATCTATCATTTATCTTCAATGCTACTTTTTTCATGCACTTTGCACTAAATTCTACTTAATAGTGGTAATAGTAATTAATTAATAGTAGAGTTTGTTATATTTTTGCTGACGGTGTGGCGATAATGATACTTACATAAAAAAAGGCAAATTGTAGAAGCAGTTATTACCACTTCTTCATAAATTTTAAGAAAACAACATAAAAAGTAATCAATATATTTTTATTTTGATATTTAAACTGTTCCTATCATGCATTTAATTGTAGTAGTTCTGTAAAAAATCATGAAGGTTTATGTGCTGCTTTATTTTGTTGGTAAAGTTAAAGTTAAAATTAAATTATTGAAGCCATAATTTTCATTGTGTATTTTTCATCTATCTTTTACAGGCGTGATAAGAAGACGTAAACGGTCTAGAATAACATCAGTATCCTCATTGCAAAGTGAATCCTCAAGTCGGCCGATCTATGGATCAATAAATCACACCGAAGATCTTGTGTTTCCGTCCGGCAGCCAATAATAAATTTATTTTTAGACTAAAATCATATTCTATTCATAGAAAAATTCTCGTCACACTTGCATCTGAGAATAAATTTCATTTAACATTGTTAATTTTATACTGTTTGTTAAACCAATTTAGAGTATCCTGAAATATTACTTTATCTGTGAGGGGCCCATTAGAAAATGTCATTCATATTTTATTTGATCTTTTTACAGATTCCACCATAGATAATTTTAGGATTGTGTAATTATTTTAATGATATTGATAGTGTATAAATTTTGTAACGTGATTATCTTTTTGTATAAATATGTATTTAAATATTTGTAAAAACAATTTATTATACTGCTACATAAAGTTTTGTATATAAAATTGTGGGGTTTTTAATAACCATGACATGTTTTCAAATTGTATAAAAAAAATTAATGCAATTTTTGTTTAGCCAAAATTGTTATAAAATTGAATTTGGTAATAAAGAAATTCTATCTAAATAAATATGTCATGTTAATGTTTTCAATGTATGAGAATATCACTGTTGATGCACACTAATTTATGAAATGCTTCTGTAAGATATATTATTCAATTAACTTTTGTTGAAAAACTATCTGTAATATGTAACTAAGCTAGGAATTGTGTAAATTTGAAATTTATCTATATTTAACTTCATAGCATAAGTGAACAATTGTAAAATTAGAAAATCAGAATGAAATAAAGATATTTTTCTTACACATTTTGTTTATTAAAGTATTAGCAGCTTAAATGGATCACGTCGGCTTTATTAGGGGGCGTTCATTAATCACGTGAGGCTTTAGTGGGAGGGTAGATATCACATGTATTTATTTTTTACCTAAATTTCAAAAAAAAAAAAAAAACTTTACGTTTTTTTCGTAAATTCGAAAAATTTATTCGGAAAATTTTACGTAACTAAAAATACACGTGATGTTTGGTGGGGGAGAGGGAATAATTCTAAATTTCACGACGTATCACCAAGGGAGAGGGGGGGTCTAAAAAATCGATCACGTGATTAATGGACGCCCCCTTAAATATTAGAGGCAAAATATGTCACCATAGCTATTATTATAAAATGTTTGCAAAGATTCAATTTTTGTATAAAATTTTGTGATTAACCGCGCTGTTTCAAATTTTTTGCCGAACAATAAGGAAGTTAAGAAAATGACTGCGGTTGTTAACACCGCAGCCGCAACATTTATATTTAGTAGTTCATATACTTATATTCTATTGTTTCGACGTTTTGATTCGATAATTTTATTTTATATATCTAATCTAAACTTTCTAAGTGAGTAAATAAAATCTAACTTTCTAAGTGAGTTACTTCAGGTTAGTAATAAAACGAAATTTTGAAGTGCGTTGTAACCGTTACTGTCTAACCTATCTCTCCAACAAGTAAATCAAGACATTAATACATTAAAGTAAATATAATGTGTAGTGTAATTATGGAATGCGAGGTGAATTGTGAGTTGGGTGGATAGTGTGTGGATTTGAATAAATTGATTGGTTTTTTAAAGCTGCAAGTGTGATTATGCTGGAAATATTCATGGTTATCAAACCACAAGGTATGTTTTGATAACTATTATTAGAATTCATTTTGCTCAATATTCTATAAAAAGTTTAGATTTTAAAATGGTGCTTCTAATGGGGCATGAAAAAGACATGTGATAATTTCAATTTGATCATCAACATAAACCTGTGTGACAAATAATTCGAACAAGAATTATATTAATGAACTTCTTTTAATCATTATTTATAAAAACGGTACATGTAATATTATCCTAACGAATAATACAAATATATCACAATGGTAAATGTCAACTTATTTGTATCACGTGCATGCAAACATTTATATTAGTTTTCCATAACGACTTGTTATAAAGATATTCAACAATTTTATGTTTGTTATACCTTTTGCTCTTAACTTTTACTATGGCCTACAAATGGTTACAAATTGTGTGAAACATTTTAACACGTACATCATAAACTTTTGTTATTGATTAAAATATTTTGTATACTTGTTTACATATACATTTTTGTTCATGGTTTATAATTTTATTCACATACATGCTTGGCAGTTTTAAATAATAAATCTCTATAAGTATGCTGTACAAATTTAATGTTCTTCGGCATTAAAAACATTACATATATCTTTTACAATATATTATTTCAAGCTAATTTTTCATAAAAATCATGATTTTAATTACTGCTGTTTATGATTTCAGTAAAATCATTTTATCCATTGAAAATATTTACAAGTAATTAATCTTCTTGAGTTATGAAGATTAGTGATAAAAAAATTGTGTGATGGGAATAACTTATTACATTATTTAAAACCAAGAATTTTTAGTAAGCACAAGGCACATTTACATCTATAATCTATCTAAACTTTGTACATCATTTTATGTGTAGTAATAATTACATTAATTTATAATTACAAACTGTAGTGATTAATTATTTGAATTAAATAAGTGATAAATATTAAATTAATACACTGGTCCATTTTGAACTATATTTAGCCTTTAATAAAGCAAAATGCATCAAATCACATTATCAGTAATGTTGACTGCACTCGAGTCGGTTTTCATTCATTTCTATATTATTCATTATATTAGATTTTTTTTTTTTTTAATAATTAGATACTTCACAATAATTTTAATCAGCTTTTTAAAATACAAGCTAATATTGCAAATTTTTGTTAAATTAAATAAATTATACCATAGAAATAGCTTTTATAAGGATATATAAAAATCTAAATCAATAGCTTTGTGACTCAAAAATTTGCAATACTGGTCAAATATGTATTAGGTGATCATTAATTAAACAACTATCCGTCAATGTTTACGTAATGTCCATGCACAGTAGCTGATTGATGGTATCGACGCCTTGATGCGAAATCCTCATTATCTTCATTTAGTTGTGCTTCCTGTACATCTAAACCAGGGTGAACTGGTGCTACTACTACTATTTGTTCATATTCTTGATTTCGTTTGCTGGATTTTAAAATTTTCATTGTTCATTATTTCATATGTTAATAATGTAAAATTAAATAATCAATTTTTAATCAGAATTTGTCTATTTGCACTAGTCTAGTCTAGAAGGATCTTAAAATTTTTATAATGTTCTCTATCAAATTTTAATTTCTTCTTCCCTAATATTTTTTTGTTTACCAATTTCGTAAAATTGCAACTGTTTATATATATATATTATATATATATATATATATTTATTTATTTATTCTTACCCTATACACTGCAACAGTAAATGCTTCAACCAAACAAAAAATTTAAATTCTGCTGTCAATCCCGGTTTTACTGCGGGGTTGGCTGTGCCCACATAAAACCAAACTAAAAATACAGTTATGATGCAAAAAATTGCATAGAGCCAATGCACCATGAGCATTATTGCAAGCTTAATGAATGCCTAAAATATAAAGTTAGTTTAACATCTTTGAATGTCATTATTTACTATAAAAAAAACATCAAGTGCAAATAATTAAATTGCATAAAGTAACTGAAAAATTACTCCACTGTGGAAAATGTTAATGATATAAAATATTCAAGAATTTAAATAATTTTTTTAACTAAACAATAACTATCTCTGGTTCAGTGAGTAGTACTGTTCAGCAAATTTACAATTTGTTTTAAAAATGCACTTATGCATTGATTAATCTAATAACTTACTCCCAAAAGAGATGCGTATCGGTTACATAGACTTGAATACCAATTTTAGTTTTGGAATGTATATTAGGCCCTCGAACAATCGGTTGCACATCTCCAGTACCGCCATCGCCAGATGCATTTTGTAAATTTGGATCTGTTGATTGAACTGGTAGATGTATATTGCCATTTTCTTGAGCCTATAGAAAATTGATTAAAATAAATATTTGATAATAATGATAGAATTTTGTTTTAATTACATTTAAATTCTTATGCCTTGTCCTTTCTGGAAACAACACATCTAAATCATTTTGTTCATTGCTTCCAGTTCCATAACTCTGTTCAAGTCTCCGCGAGTTGGACTATGAAGATTTTGTGATCTTTGTATTCTGAATCGCTCCTCTCTCTTATGTTGTATATCAAAGGTTTGAGCAAGAGCAAAATACGAATAGTCAATACAAGCATAAGTTAACAAAAATGGCATTGTTACTATAGGAGCTAGTGTATTAATTTGCCCCACAAATATGAAAGTTATTGTTACAGCAGCAACAACAGCCATTGCATATAAGGGAACCTTATTAGGTCCTCTCTGAAAAATAATAAAGATGTTACAATTTGAGCAGTTAAAAATAAAAATTGATACTAAAATATAAATTTATTTTTTTCAAATTCATTTTTGACAATTAGAACATGGACTTACTCCTTTTCCCCAGTTTTCCAATACCGGGGATTACATTTTCATTTGCGATAGATTGCAAAACCCTTGGTGTCCCATACATTGCTCCTAAGCAACTAG